AATAGATAGATAGATAGATAGATAGATAGATAGATAGATAGATAGATAGATAGATAGATAGATAGATAGATAGATTGATTGATTGATTGATTGATTGATTGATTGATTGATTGATTAATTTGCAAAAGTCTTCAGTCCCATGGCAGACAGTAAGTCAAGAATACGAAGCAATGGACAATGCATTCCCCAAGGCAAGTCCATATTGTTATTATATAATGTGTTTATCATCTTATGGAAGCTGTTCCAGAATCTTTTCTGGTTATTTTTGCACAGCGATGCTTCAGTGGATTGTATACTAAAGTATATAAACTTTTAAGTCATCCTAAATTATCCCTTTCCACTTTTGTTGTTCTTTAGTCATGTCCGACTCTTCGTGACGCCATGGACTAGAGCACACCAGGCCCTCCTGTCTTCCACTGCCTCCCAGAGTTGGATCAAATTCATGTTGGTAGCTTCAATGACACTGTCCAACCATCTCGTCCTCTGTTGTCCCTTTCTCCTCTTGCCATCACACTTTCCTAACATCAAGGTCTTTTCCAAGGAGTCTTCTCTTCTCATGAGATGGCCAAAGTATTGGAGCCTCAGCTTCAGGATCTATCCTTCCAGTGAGTACTCAGGCTTGATTTCCTTCAAAATGGATAGGTTTGTTCTCCTTGCAATCCAGGGGACTCTCAAGAGCCTCCTCCAGCACCACAATTCAAAAGCATCTATTCTTCAGCCGTCAGCTTTCTTTATGGTCCAGCTCTCACTTCCATACATCACTAAAGGAAAAACCATAGCTTTGACTATGCGGACTTTTGTTAGCAAGGTGATGTCTCTGCTTTTTAGGATGCTGTCAAGGGTTGTCATCGCTTTCCTGCCAAGAAGCAGGCATCTTTTAATTTCGTGGCTGCTGTGTCCATCTGCAGTGATCAAGGAGTCCAAGAACGTACAATCTGTCACTGCCTCCATATCTTCCCCTTCTATTTCCCAGGAGGTAATGGGACCAGTGGCCATGATCTTTTTTTTTTTCTTTTCCTGTTCAGCTTCAGGCCATTTTTTGCACTCTCCTCTTTCACCCTCATGAAGAGGTTCTTTAAGTCCTCCTCACTTTCTGCCATCAGAAATGTTATCATATGCACATTGGAAGTTGTTGATATTTCTTCTGGCAATCTGAATTCCGGCTTGGTATTCCTCCAGTCCGGCCTTTCGCATGATGTATTCTGCATGCAAGTGAAATAAGATGGGGGATAATATGCAGCCTTGTCATACTCCTTTCCCAATTTTGAACCAATCAGTTGTTTCAAATCCAGTTCTAACTGTTGCTTCCTGTCCCACGTATAGGTTTCTCAGGAGATAGATAAGGTGGTCAGGCACTCCCATTTCTTTAAGGACTTGCCATAGTTTGCTGTGATCCACACAGTCAAAGGCTTTTGCATAGTAAATGAAGCAGAAGTAGATATTTTTCTGGAACTCTCTGGCTTTCTCCATAATCCAGCACATGTTAGCAATTTTGTCTCTAGTTCCTCTGCCCCTTCAAAATCCAGTTTGTACTTCTGAGAGTTCTTGGTCCACATACTGCTGAAGCCTACCTTGTAGGATTTTGAGCATAACCTTGCTAGCGTGTGAAATGAGTGCAATTGTATGGTAGTTGGAGTATTCTTTGGCACTGCCCTTCTTTGGGATTGGGATGTAGACTGATCTTTTCCAGCCGTCTGGCCACTGTTGAGTTTTCCAAACTTTCTGGCATATTGAATGTAGCACCTTAACAACATCATCTTTTAAGATTTTAAATAGTTTAACTGGAATGCCATCACCTCCACTGGCCTTGTTGTTAGCCATGCTTTCTAAGGCCCACTTGACATCACTCCCCAAGATGTCTGGCTCAAGCTCAGCAACCACACTATCTGGGTTGTCCCGGATATCCAAATCTTTCTGGTATAATTCCTCTGTGTATTCTTGCCACCTCTTCTTGAGATCTTCTGATTCTGTTAGGTCCCTACCATTTTTGTCCTTCATCATGTCCATCTTTGCACAAAATGTTCCTTTAATATCTCCAATTTTCTTGAACAGATCTCGGGTTTTTCCCTTTCTATTATTTTCCTCTATTTCTTTGCACTGTTCATTTAAGAAGGCCCTCTTGTCTCTCCTTGCTATTCTTTGGAACTCAGCATTCAATTTTCTGTAACTGTCCCCATTTCCCTTGCATTTTGTTTCACTTCTCTTCTCTGCTATTTGTAAGGCCTTGCTGGACAGCCACTTTGCTTTCTTGCATTTCCTTTTCTTTGGGATGGTTTTTGTTGCTGTCTCCTATGCAATGTTATGAGCCTTCAACCATAGTTCTTCAGGCACTCTGTCCACCAAATTGAGTTCCTTAAATCTGTTTTTCACTTCCACTGTGTATTCATGAGGGATTTGGTTTAGATTATACCTGACTACCCAGTGGTTTTTCCTACTTTCTTCAGTTTAAGCTTGAGTTTTGCTACAAGAAGCTGATGATCAGAGCCACAATCAGCTCCAGTCCTGTTTTGCTGACTGTATAGAGCTTCTCCATCTTTGGCTGCAGAGAATATAATCAGTCTGATTTCGGTATTGGCCATTCT